CATTGTGGATTTCGTGGATAATGTTGGTGAAGTATTGATTGACGTCGATGTAGTCGTTTTTGTGATTGTTGTCGATGGTTGTAGTAGTAATGGAAGTGGTGGTGGTGGTGGTGGTGGTGTTGGTGAATCGCATTTAGAATGATACGTAACAATTAGTCTGTTACCATTACCGTTATATATTTCAACACATTGTGTTATGAATTGGTTAGTTTCAGTATTGATGTTGGTTATTGAAGCAGTGATGGGTACAAAGTCTGTTGGAGATGAGTGAGTTAGAATTTTGGGTGGGGGAGTGGTTGGCAGAGGTGGTGGTGATGGTGTTGTTGGTATTGGTAATTGTGAAGCGGTAATATCAGTCGATGATAATGATGCGGTTGTTGTTGATGATGGCGTTGAGTTTTGTGATTTGGAAAATAATCTGGTAGATGTTTGTGCGTTCAGTGAGCTAATCGTCTGTGTTGAATGTTTTGAAATGTGCGTTTTGGTGTAGGTGAGTGTATTGGATTTATTGCGGGTGCTGTGTGCTTGCATGCATTTGTGCTTATTGGGTAGGGTATTTGAGTGATTGGTGCAATTCTTTTTCATTGCGGACGTGAATGGTTTCCTTGACTTCCCGTCAAGCTTAAGACTATTTACCTGTGGTGGACGGTGGGGTGGTGGATAACGTGGTGGTGTCTTGTTACGCGCGATGAACGTATCTGGACAATCGACAGCCATCTCACGATGTGGACCTGCAGCGAAGTAAAAACGATTAGCAAATAAATTGAAAGTAAAAAAGTGCTTTCAGCTCTCACTCACCATTATCTTGATTAACTGAAAGCATTGTCAACATTTCCTGATCGATTTCTTTGCTATCACCAGATTGTTGCCGATAATGCTGACCACTAATATAGTCGTCCGGTAAACATGGCTTCAAATCGTCACCATCGATAACAACAATGCTGGAGCCAGAACGACGGCGAGGCCTGAAAGTGGATGGAAGAAGAGCGAGAGCGTAAATGTTTTGTTCATAGTTTGTTGTCGGCCTAACAAATTTCATTTTTACTAGAACATTATTTAGGTGAGGTTTTTATATATTTTCTTATATTTGAATTCGCATTGCTAATAAATCAGTAAATAATACGCCTTAAAGTATGCACCATTATATGCTTAGTTATTGGAAATTTTTCTGATTTCCTTCGCTCGCCAAAAAATCACATATTTGCACTTCTCAAACGATCTGGGAAATAACTTATTCAAGATTCGAGTCACTGGGAAACTCGCAGCCCCTTTTCTTTATTCCCTACTTATTATGAGTCTTCAAATTATGAAGTAAGTAGCGTAACAACGCTGCTGCTGAAGGATTTTAACTCATATTTAATTTTCTCCATTAACCAGCCAGCTCACAAACAATTTTCAGCTTCAAACTTTTCAATCACCCGCAATCAGTAAATATGTATAATCCAATTTCAATAGCTACCAAACAAATACGAAAGCTAGCGAAGCTGTGTTACTCTCATTTTTCGGCTTAATGACAGGAAATTACCATGAAATATGTTTCTAAAGGCGCATATCGCCCGCTTTTTGGTTTAGCTAGGAATTCGGTTGGAAAATCGAAAATTTCCAATTAACAATAAAAAATAAACAGAAAAAGAAGATAGCGTTATAGCTAGGGAAAGAAAGCAATCGAAATTCTTTTGACACACCAAATGCTCAGATATTTGCAGACAATGAATGAGCCGCGTTATTTACTTTATCTGGTACCTGCTGGTACATTTGCTTTGGATATCTCGCACATTTGTTCACTCGCTTCAGCGCGAAATGACAATAACCCTGCAGTGAAGCACCAAACTAGTCAGAAAAAATACTAGTTTACAACTAGAATTTCCTGACTTAAATCGAACTAGTCTGAAAAAGACCGGACTTTTACCAATTACAAAACGATTTATTAACGTCTTATTTTATTTTACTTGAACATTTTAATAAAATTAAGTACACAAAAAATAACTTTTATTTACTTTTATTGTAACCATTAAAACGAGTACATATTCAGTTATGTATATATGTATGTATTATGTAAATGAATATACATATGTAAGTACATAAAATAAAGTGATTGGAAATGGGTTCCGTTTCTTAAGTTAATTTGTTTTTTTTTTTAATACAATACGTATCGAGGGCTTATATCCAATACCCTCTATCTGCACTTTTCACAAAAATGAGATTCTGATATAAAAATCCACCTCAGACTTAACTATCATCGGTTATATTAATGCTGACCTTGTATAACGCTTGACAGAAGAATTTACTATTAAATTACAAAGTCATAACTAACATTTGTGACGTCAGGTCGGGTCTACGTAACCGGAACGACCCAGATTTATATCTGGCCAAGGACTGTCCACTCCAGCAACACTCCCCAAAATCTCTTTGGGGAATTTGTATGCTGTTACAACAACAAGATGGGTTCTAACAAGTCAAAATATTTTTTATGAAAATTGCAGATAAAGGGGTTGAATACAAGCCCTTGATATATAATTCTACTTGAAGGGTAATTAAAAAAATTTAAATACTTTAACGTTCTTAATTTTATATAAAAGTACAGCTCTTTTTCTAACGAATACCATATAAATCCAAACTTCATACTTTGTACGAAAAATTCTAAATATTATTAAATATTCCTTTTCATCCCAATTCCAAG